TTGAGTTCTTCATCCCACTCTCACTTTTTGTTGTTGTCAAAAACAGAACGAGAGATTCGATTTTCTCATGACTATCGTTCAATAAGCTACTAGTGAGTATATGAGATATTCTCAAATTTGAGTTAATTGAACTTAATTTTCGTAGAAAATTCTCACGAGTAAGTAGTTAATATTAATCAATGTCCAACATGTAGAGGTATCATTTTTAGAAGTAGAGTAAAACGGTGAATTTTGAGTAGATATGAACAATAAAAATTAGATTACCCACAGTAAAATCAAGACCAAATTAGGAACCGTTTGAGCAGCGTGAAGCGAAAATTACAAATTTTGCATCAGTCTATTCTTTGGTACAAGCAATATAAATATTTACCTTATTTGACAAAACCCAGGTAATCATGACGTTTGATTATTGAAAACAATTTGAATGAAGAAAAGAGACCTACTGCTGTCATGATTACCTGAGATTTGTCAAATAATGTAAATATTTACACCTATTGAATCGAAGAATTGGGCAGTGCTGACACTGAGATGTGTAATTATCATTGGCAGACATTCGCGCGATATTGACAAAAATGTTTTTCACGTAGTCACTGACAGACTTGATCCTCAAAAAAAAAAACTCCAAAATCTCATTAATTTTTTCGTCAACGACAAAGATTCACCTTGTAACAAAAAGTGTAATTTCGTGCATTCTGTGTCACATTGTTGCTATCCAAGCAGCTCAGGACGTGGCTCCATGTAATTGTGTTATTCAAGTCAGTTAATTTCGTTACAAATTTAGTTAATAACAAAATCTACACATGTTCGTCACTGACAGCATTATCATTGACAATTAACATGGTTTCCCTTGACAATGACTGTTAGCTCAAATGAGCTATCAAGATTTTGCAGCACTGTTAGTGGGTATAACTCGGTCACATAAATAATGCTTTGAACAATATAGGCCCATAGCGTTAGTATGAATTTCAGTGGTATTGCAAAGCCTCAAGGTGCTAGTGATGCAAGGAAATAGTCAATTTGGTGCATTCCTATAATGCTGATTGATGAGTCAGGGGTTTCAATCAATAACGAATTGATTTTCAAAATTAGTTCTCCTCCGCAACCCAAGAATTTTCCTGTTCGTCCGCTATAGAAAAGTACATATTTCAGAATATGCTTGCCTTGCAGCAGCTTTTGCAGACAGTGTATTTTAAATTTAAGTTCAATGCAAATAATTATAGTTCAGTTGATAAGTTTCAAGTTGGACATTTCGATGTGCAGTTATGCCAGTTATAATAGAGTAAGAATAGTGAAATTACTTCACTTTTTTGAAAGGCATCCAGTTCGAAATTCCACATATGTTTGCGGCCTGGCCTTATAAGACATCTGCGCCCCGTGGTAACTCGCTAGTGCTTGTTGTTGGCTGGTTGGGAGTGGATTCTACATACCATACCAATCAGGCCTTTTGTACCAAAAGCTTTTATGCCGTTTTCAAATGTACCGCGAGATATATCCTAACAGGCAAGGTTGGTGAGTTACTGTAGTAATTGGAACCAGCGGTATTAAACATGTGGTAATCCTCGTACATTCAGCTTGAATCCAATATGTCTTCAATTTTGACGTTCTGATACCTATAGTTAATATATGGGATTTGACGATATAGTACAGAGCAAGGGGTAAGACAGCTTTACCAACAATCAATTCGAAACTAACGATTTTAAATTGGCTCACTTCTTGACTAGCCTATTGGTCCCAAGCAAACGATTAACGTATCCCATTCTAGTCAATATTCTAGTACTACACTATGTTTGTTTTGATTTGCTTTGAAAGTTTGACAGATAAAATGAGGGGTTCATGGATTTTCCTATGTTTCGAGGGGTGAATCGATTAGCTTGGGACCGAAGATAGTACCAGAGCTGAGCCAAAAAGTTGAGCACGTATCTTCGGGACCTTCTGGTCTTAAAGTTACCTCTATGGCTTTACTCTGAGTTGCTTTTTTGCAGTTAGTAACTCGTAAGTAACTCAATGTTCTTCAAAATTAAATCGACGTCGATCGATTTTTTGCATAGCCTAAAAGCAAACATGAAGCGCTCATTTTCTCGCATACTCGACTTCGTGTGCTTTTTCTGCTGGAGAGATTCGAGGCAAGTGTGTGCGTCGTTCTACAATGGTCTACAATGTGCGTCGTTCTACAAGCTTACTGGTATAGTCGAAAGCGTAGATAGAACACGAAATACAAAAGACAAAAAACCATTACATCGCTTGCATGGTCAATTTCTAACATTCGTTGCGATGTTCATGAACAGAGGATGATAGGAAACGGAACTAACATTCATTGTAATAATTTTTTGGTTTGCGTGCACCAGAGGTAGGAGGATGTCCGCTCGCAGCAGAACGGCACCATGGTAATCCAGTGCTTGGTTCGCAGTATCATCTAGCGGCAGGTTGTCGGGCGATGGGAATGGGATCGCTTCGACGAGTATCAGAGGACGTGCAGGGTATGTATAATTTGCCGAATCTGGAGTATTTGGTCAGGCGGATCGAGTTCTTTTACCACATCGAGGCGGATGATTCCTTTTTGTTGTTGTTTTGCTTGACAGCAGCTTTTCGGCTTCGCACCTCCATATGTTGCTTTTATGCGAAAAGTGAGAAAGCAAATGACAGTGATCTTGCCAACTGAGCAACGCAAGTTACTCGAGGGGCCTTAAAAGCAACTCTGAAACTGCACATGACTAGGAACTGTCTTACCTCTTGGTTCAGAGGCATATTCTGATTCAACAAAAACAAAACAGGTTACTTCGATATTCGATCTACATGAAGGTTTCAAAATGGGGCTCAGTAATAGTCCCCTGGCTGGAGCACCTAGTTTAAAAGCAGGGTCTGGCGAAGATAAATCGCAGTCACCTTCAGACTGCTGCGATGGATTTCAAATTGATAAACAAAACAAATCAACGCGTGACTCTTTGGTAGTCAATGCACAGAAAAACAAAACTACCCACCGCTTGGGTTTTTAAAACTCAAATTTGAGTTATTTGACCTCTGCCCGTTTCATTTCCTCTCGCTATTGTTGTCAAAAATAGAACGAAAGATTCGACTCAACCGTCTAGTTCCGTACGAGAAGCCAAAATTGAGTAATATGCGATATACCCAAATTTGAGTTAATTGAACTTAATTTTGGGTAGAAAAAATTGAAAATAACTTAGCGATGGGTAATTTTTTTTGCCGTCCTTAAATGCCAACTACTTTGAGCCGGTTTACCCAAATTTGGCTTATCGTACGGAACATGGGAGATGAGTGAAAAGAACTTAATTTTGGGTTCTTTTGAATTTCTGTGTGTAGTTGTTGAGTTTGATTTTCTCGATTGTTAGCAATTGTAATGTAGAGCTTGTATTGAAGCTTTTCTTTTGTTTCCTCCTTGCAACAGCAAAAAAATTGGTTCAAAAATCATTACTTCTCCGCCAGACCCAGAATGTAAATTGAATTAAATTTGGAACAAATAAAGTGCTAAAAATAACTGGTCGACACAAAAGGTTGGTTTTCACTGCATGCGTCAAATTCTCTGACAGACACTTAAAGCAAAGTCTGCCAACCATTTGCAGGTAAATTACACCATGCGTGAATGGGGATTTCCCTTGTCAGGAACACCACACCCAGCAGTGACCGGTTATTTATCTATTACCCACTTTTAGCTGCTGAATGCAAAACATTTAGCATCTTATTCTGCCAAGTTGCTACCGATGGTATTCGATTATATTAAGCTCATCAACACTTGTTTTTGACACAGTGATTTTCATAACAGCAGGTCGCAATGATTCAGTACATTTGAAGCAATAGCCATCGAAATGAAACGCACCGGGCTGAATTTTCAAATCATTACAATTTTCTTTCGTCATACCGGTGTGTTTTGCACTCTGCGAAGCAGCAGGTTTCACGCAACTGTATTGTGTACGAGGGTAGGAACGGGGGGCATCATCAAACAAATTTATCACCCGAATAAATCTTTGATCAATTCCGTTCCAATGATTGCCGGTAACCTTAAGTCACTTTTAACGCCGGAACCTTGATGCGTGGTATTTCTGCCACTTTAAAGTCAGTTTCACAACTGTCACGTTAATTGAACTTGATAATAAACAAACAACTGCATCCCGAATTCAAGAACTCCACGCATCCACAAACATACACTCTTCTTGAGACCTTCTGTGAGAATTCCATTCAATTCGAAGCCTTCACACGTTCAACCAGCCGCGTCCAACCCAAAGCTTCCAAGCGACTACCAACCACCAAGCTTCTCATCCATTTTCGCAGAGAGGCTTCGGTACTTGGTAATCGATACACTAACGAACCCGATCCCCCGGTGTGGCTGAGAGCGAGAGCCACTAATTGGCTCCTCGAACTGGCAGCAGCAATCAAAGCTAAACCGCGCTTCGCTCAAAAGGATTTTCTATAGCAGTTCCTCGCCGATTGACGACAGCAACAAACAAAACCTCGTGCACGATTATGGCACTCTCGCCAGCCGAGAGCCGGAGAGAGCGGGAGAACCACGTGAAATTTTATGGCAAAAGCCGGACTGCGCGAGTGCAAGCAGCAAAATTGCGTTCGCTTTTTCGTCGGGCTCCGTGTGTGGCTCTGATTCCGCTCGTGCAGGGGGTTGTTGTTGGAACTCTCCCGGGCTGTTCGTAGACGAGGGGAACCCACCAACGGTCGATCGAGACCCGCTCGGGGGGGGTGTGTTGCGGAAAACCCCCGAACGACGAAGCGAAAAAAGCTCCATGCTTTTCGCGAGCCAAGGGGGTGGATATACTATTGGAGGTATAAAACAGATTGAACTAAGTGCTCGTCATCACAGTTCATTCTGGGCTTCTGTGACCTGAGGGTGTCTGAAGCATTGGTTTTCGGTTAAAAATTGTCGGTGTTTGCCATATTAGCAGTGACCCAGTGCGATTATTCGGTGCAAGATCATCACCAGAAAGGAGAAGAGTTCTGTGTTTTCGGTTCCCGAGGACTTGTTGGATTAGCAGCAGCGTTCCCCCGGAGAGTGTTGTTCTGATCAAGGTGAGCGTGAGCTAAGGACTGAAAGGATCTCATGAGAATGGATTCTAAGAAGAACAATCAAGTGACCATCAAAAAACAAATGTATGGAGTCGGCGGTTTCCTAATTAATACAGTGAATTACGGAGCAATACTTTTATGAGATTGTAATGAATATGAAGTTTTTGAAGTTTGTGACAGCGTCTGAAAACAAAGGTGTGCTGAGCAGTGAACAGCACTATTTGTGCTTCGAGTAGTTATGCTGAAATTATTTTAAAATCCAGTGAATTTCAATTGCAATGCGAAATGTGGTTGCGTTTTAAACATCAGGATGACGTTTTTGAAAATTATGCAATGCATTCGAATGATAATCGACAATCTTTCGAAAATTGTTTCATCGAATTAATAAATTTTCATTTTGCTTTGCATCCATTTGAATTTCCGAACCCTTAACCCTTACTTAGTTAATTTCGGTTTCAAACTATTTGACTTTTTTAATTTTTAGTAAATTTTCCAATAACAAACATACCTTCCTGATCGGTTGGAACTCGCACCATTATAACCGGCTGCGACCTCACAAAATAGGATCAAAATTAAAAATTAAAAAAAAGTTGTTGGTTACGTAAAGGTTAAGCGTATAAGGAAAATTTCCATCCATTTTTGGATTACTCATCTGTCATCTAAGATAACTCCTCTTTTGTGCGAGAAGTGTTTATTCGAAGCGTGCTCAAGAATATCGGAAATTTTAAGGGATCGTCCTTCCAATAAATTTCGTAATCTCATATGATCTAGCAACCATTGGATAGTTTCCACACTGTTTTTGACTGGGCTACTACGATGACAGTCTCTTCGTTTTTTTTTCCATTTCACCGGAAAAATAGCCTCACTTCTCTAACGGTTCGAAGCTTTCCTTAAACTGTAGGGTGCATGGGACCCTACAGTTTAAGGATATGATTTACCCATTATATTTCCTGCAGTTATTCGTTCGCAACTAGACATCCTCTTTAACTCGATGATCTCTTCAATATTGAGATAGAGAGAATTAAGTACAGTCAAATTTCGCTCGTTGGGCTATGTTTAGGTGGGCTACGATTTAGTTGGGCTCCCGTTAGTTGGGCTGAAGCCCAATCGAAGTCAAACGTCATTTTCGACAGTGTTGTTTCTTGTTTGATGGGCTAAAGGATTTACTGCTAAAGGATTGTGATGATAATAAACAATCGGTGTATCCCTCAACCAATTTTCAGCTTGACAGCTCAGCCCAACTAACGAAAGTAAAGAGTTATGAATGCATGATTATAAAATCAATTTGAAACAACGTTTCTCAATTTATGCGTTGCTAAAAAAAAAACAAATTGATCTGAATTTAAAATCGTAATCAAGCACTTATTTCATAATTAATTTACATGAACTTGTAACTTGTAATTCCCATTTCAAATACATTGAATAGCAAGTTACAAGTACTTGTAGGTTTTACTGGGCAATAGGACCCAGGGCTAAGGTTAAATTAAAATTAAAATTTAAATTTAAATAGGTTGCAGAAATTTAGATAAATGTTCATTCAAATCTATTAAAAAGCCTTTGAATTTTAAAATTTCTGTTTACTTTCAAATCGATCCTTTTAACGAAATCAGTTATGACGAGCAATTGGGGCAGATTGAATGAATTGTTTTAAATTCCCACTAATATCCTTAAGTAATGTGGCGTTCCTGTACAGATTAGAAGCTTCAAGTGTTTTGGACTAATTTCAGCATTATTTTGGCGTTCTTCATAGGTAATTTGGAGATTTGAGGTCATTTCGACAAATTGACTTCATTGTTTACAAAAGCTTTGACTGTTTACTCTAGAAATGGCATGAGAAATTCTATTCACAAATTTTGTTTATTTTTATTTTTTTTATCTAGCTTGTTTATTTGGAAGGCTCAATCGCGTTAGCTTTACGGAGTCGATAATTCATTGTTCATTGTTTTTAACAAAATTCACATATTACCCAAGGTTAGAGGGGTACATTGTCGAAGGATAGGATCAGGGGAGAGGGCTTGAGGTGGGGTTTTGCTGTCTCATCAGAGCGTTGTCACCAGTTTGAACGGATTTACAACAGTTGATACGACTCTTTCTATTGTTGGCTTTCTATTCATTTTTTAGCGCTTTAAGCATGAAAATCGGACATCACTAGATGAATGTGAAACGTCATTTCAAATATAAGGCCGTTCATAAATAATGATACAATTTGAAAGGGACCGGGGCCAATCACAAATTACGTCTCCATGGTAACTGAAATAAACACGAGTGTTCACCGGTTGCTTTAAGGGCCAACACTCCCCGAAAAGCATAACCATCAAATCAGGCTATGCTGAGGATTTTTAAATGATTTAAGGCCTCCAGAAAAACAATTTCAGTTCCCATACCAAGCGTAAAAATACCCATATAAAAACTACCAGAAACCAGGTATGTTGTTTTAGCAAAAATGCAATGCATGGCCAGCTATTGGATAAAATCTTCTACACAAAAAACACACATCAAAGCGCAAACAAAGCTCTCATTCCTTTGGGAATGCATGATTCAATACGATAGTATTGTTAAATTTTTCACGAGCCTTTTTAGTGTTCAGTTTTAGTAAGCATTACCCCACTCTCCTGTCAAATTTTCACCAGTGCATGAACTCAATTCCATCGGTGCACTCGCCAATGGCACATTTTCAATATTTTCTCCCTCACTTAAAAATGGAGCTACAACTTTTTAAACTATTATACCAACTGACTTGAACTTTTCAGTGCTGATTGTAAGTTTCATGAAGGTCTGAGGGGTGCTTTATCTCGATTAATAGTGATGAGATCATCATGCTATCTATAACAATTTGCGCAATTTCAAATTTCCGCGGCCATGCAAGGACGTTCTTCCGTCATTGTTGGCAGGGGTCTACATTTTCGAAGTTCTAAAATTAACTCGAGGATTGGTTTTTTTTATACAACGTGTTTAACGCATTATTTCTATAATGCCCAGCTAGATCAGCTATCTACGTGATATGAAAATGAAAAATAAGCACGCTTAGAGCGTAGTTTTTTGCGTCTTTGCTTTGCTCACTCTTTTCAATGAAAGTAACGTCGATTTTCAAGTTGAAACGAAGCCTCATTCTGGCTTTCAATTCCTTTCACGGACACTGTGACACCTGCTCTGTCAATTTATTTAAAATGCTTTCTGTCCCGTTATATAAAGTTATTCTTTTTTAGATAAATATTTGTAATTTTCAAGTGTTCTCATGTCCGAGATGCTTTAAATATATACTTTAATTTTCCGCCAAATACGTCTTGAATCCTCGGTTGATGTGCTTCATGAAAGAGGAACTGATCACAATCGAGCGCTCTTTCACTCGTCCGCTTCACCGAAGTTTGAAAGAAACTCGAATGAAGCGATGGCAGAAAGAGAGACAAACGATTGAAAATTTGTTTGTAAACGCCGACTGAGGTGCTTGCTAGAATGATGCAAAGCTGCTCGAATACAACAGAAGACAGTCGCGTGTGACGCCAGGGGGACAACTCTATCCACGCTGCAGGGAAATATTTTGTTTTACTGTGGCTAGCCTTTGCGCACGCTGACTAGATAGAAAGAAGATTGATGATGATTCTGAAGATTTCCTGCAAAAGATGATGCCCAATGCAAGTAGATGCGAGAAATGAAAGATGATTTTTCGAAGATTGATTCACTAGTTTGCGATTTTTTGAGCATCTAGAATTGAGATTCAGATGTGTCGCCCTGATTGTGGATATTGAGTCATGGAACCAAACCATTTGTTCTGTCAAATATATATTTCAAAATATTGTGCAGCTTCTCAGAAATTACGCTTCAAATTTCCGGCTCATTTCTTTTACGCCAAAAAAAAACAGTATTTTCTATCACAATTAAAAAACTCAAAATACGTTTATAAATTTAACAAGGAATGAAACAAATATGTAAATTTTCAAGACAGCATTTTGTTTTGTTGATTAGAAACCAAGTCAAAAAAAAATAATAAAAAATTAATCAAATTTAAATTTAAAACCAACTTGTATTTGAATCATCAATTTAGTACTCTCTAAAGAATTTTCTCTGAAAATTAAAAATTATTTAGTATAATAGTTGAAAAGTTACAGCTGTTTTTGTATGTGTCACACCCTTTATGTCATATTTTGAGGCACTCACGCCAGCATTTCCAAATTCAAATTAAAGCTCGAACGCAATGACACCGGCAGTGGCAGCGGAAAAGGCTGATCTGAGTGAGCCTACTTGTCGGATAGAACAATAGTTAGTGGATAGGAAATGGAAATAGAAACTCAAAACAATTGTTCCCGAAAAGTATGAAAAAACAGCCATTGCATAAAGCTGGGTTTAGACAGGGCAAGTCAATTGATCAAGTCTGTTGAATTCAACTGACTTGAACGCGAATTGAACGTGTGAACCATGCCATTCAACTGACTTGATCAACTCACTTGAATTGAAAAAAAGTTGAACCAGGTTCAACTTTTCAAGCCAATTGAATTCAACTGAAATGCTCATTTGACTTGCCTAGTCTAAACCCAGCTTAAGAAACGATGGTACAAAATAGTCAAATTTGATTTTTTTTTTTATAATTACTTTATTTGTACAGGCTCAATCGAATAAACTTTACAGAGCCGAGTTATCCTTTGCATTATACATTATTACTGTCTTAAGTCAAATTTGATGCAACCGATCAGATCCGGATGCATGCGTAGTTACATGTAGTTATTATATATTATTATCGTTATCGTTATCGTTATTTTTTAATCACCCCTTCTCCATGAGAGTTTGGATACGGTCGTAGCGAATGGAAGTCGAAACAAACCCAGCAAAATGTAGTTCTTCTAGCAGAATGTCTTGAACACTAATGCTGGGTTTAGACTAGGCAAGTCAAATGATCAACTCAGTTGAATTCAATTGGCTTGAAAAGTTGAGCCTGGTTCAACTTTTTTCAATTCAAGTGAGTTGACCAAGTCAGTTGAATGGCATGGTTTACACGTTCAATTCGCGTT